AAATCTACTAGAGTAGCCAAGACTTATCTAGATTGAGAATAGATAATATAAGTGAAAGATGTAAAGAAAATTTAATTAAGATAAGAGCATGATTTCATCTTTAATGTTAAAAAAAAAAAAAAAACTAAAAGCTAAAAGTGTTACTATATAATTTTTTAAAAGCTTTTTTCTAAAAGAATATAATACTGACTAAATTAAGTGGAAATATAGCTAATACTAGCTAATTTTGTCAAGATTGTGTTCTTTCTAAAAATGGCTTTTGAAACTAAATTATATAGTTAAAAGTACTTGGTTTAACTTATTATTTTTTATTACTATTTCAAGAAAGAAATCAATTATTGTCATAGCTGATGCTAAAAATGGCTGATGCTGAAATTTGTAGTCTATATTTAAATCTATAATACCTACTAAAATCTATATATACTTTTTTATTAATAAAACTATCCTACTAACCCTAACCTAACTATGAAAAAAAAGTGTACAAAAATGACTCTAAAATTTTTTATAAATTCATAACAAAATATAAAAAAATTTCAATATTAGCCATTTTTAGCATCAGCTGTGACAATTATTTTTACTAATTAATTTCTACTCTTCATTTATATTAATCTTTTTATTAATCCTTATTACAATATATTTATACAATTAATTAAATAAACTACTAAGCTATAATTATATCATTTATTCAAATCAACTATACTGTCTTATTTTTACTCTTTTTTTACTATTCTTTTTTAATTAGATTTTGATTCAATCTCAATTTATAAATACCTGTTTTTTCAATCTATTACTATCTATTTTATGAATTATATAAGGTATATTATACTGTTTTTTATTACTTTCACAGCAATAGTTTTTTTGTTTTAAGTTTATATGAATATTACAAAGAGAAAATTTGCAAATCTTATTTAATAAAAATTTCAGATTTCTCTTTGAAACACTTATATATTTTATCAAGACTTAATTATGTTTTATAATCAAAATTTTGAGAATTGAAAAGTTTTAGTATCAAAATATAGAAATCTGATTTTGATAATATATTTATTTTCAAATAAGAAATGTTTTTATTTAATAAATTTAAATTAATAATTTTCATTTGTAAAATTAAAAAAAATTTACAATGTTGAATAGTATGATTTAAATGCTATTCTAACTGCTATTTAAACTGCTATTTAACACTATTAAAACTTTATGAATATATATATTTATAAAATTATATGATAGTATTAAATGTAGTTCAAATATTAGTTTGAATAGCTTTCAAATTGTGCCATCAACATGGTGAATTTTTTTAATTTATTAGTGTTTGTTATTAAAAAGTTTATGAAATAGGAGTCTCCTCCTATTTTATTTTTCAATTTCAAAGTTTTAAAACAAAAATAAGATTTTTTTACTTCTATTTATTTTTAAAATACATTATTTTTTTTAATTCTAAAACTTCTTATAAAATAATAATAAAGACTCTATATATTAATTAAAATATATAAAATAATTACCTAAAAAAACTTTACTACTTCTAGGCTAAAAGATACTAAAGTTTAAAAAATAAAAATTAATTCTTAACTAAAAATTTTAATTTTAGTTTGAATTTAAATTTTATGCTCTTTTAAATACCAATAATCAAAAGCTTTTTCAAAATCAATAAATTAATAGATAGACTATTTAAAGTTATTATCAAATAATTATTAAGTTATTAATGTTCATTTGATTACAAAATTGAGTTTTTGTAAGATTTTATTGAGAAAAAACTCTTTTAACCGCTAAATTTGTAATAGGAATAATTAAAAAAATTTGTATTAAAGTTGAGGTAGTAAAAAGAAGTTTTTGAAAAAATAAAATTCTATATATCAATAAATCTAATTGATTGATAATTTTTAAGAAAGAATTTGACTATTTTCTATTTATTAATTAATACTCTATTATTAATTAATAGCTTAAATTCTTTACTATTAATCATTTTTGAAGTTCTATAAAAATTACCAAGAATTTGAATCATTTTATTGCTATAATTAGATAGATTACTATTTAATTTTGGTAAATGCTCTGGATCAAATATGCTAATGCATTATATAATTCTCAGTTTGCAAATAATTATTAAGACTCTCTATAGTTGTATAAACAAGGTCAGAAATAAATATAAAAAGTTCATAAATATTCAAATTATTATTTGAAATATACTCAAGTAAGTTTAATCTATAAGTAGGTAAAACCCTATTACTGCCAATAAATTAAGCTTGAATTGCATCAATTATTATTGTAACATGTTGTTGAATATTAGCAAATAAGATATAGTCTAATTGAAATATACATATTAATTTTCTTAATATAAAAAAATAATTAGCTAAAAACATTGTTGCAATTTTAAATTCTTGATCAATATCAGCCAATAAAGAAGCAGCTTGCTGATTATTTGCTGCTTTCTCTAATAAAGCCTCTTTAATTGATTCTAAATATTAATAAAAATTATGAATAATATTTAAAAATGAAAGCCAACATGTAGATATAATATTTATAATACTAGCTCTGGTTTTTCTAAATTATATTGTACTATTTTCAATATTAATAATCTTTTATAAGAACTGCTAAAATATAAATAGATTTCCTTAACTACAGTATTGTATGCTTTAAAATAAACAACCTATTCTGCAGCATCTTGACTAGCAAAATGTAATTGATATACAATACAATAATTTTTAGCAATATATGGATTGTGTTTTTTAAGATAAGCAGCAACACTAGTATGTTTTCCAAGTATAGTACTTGCTCTATCACTTCCAAATAAGTTATATTTTTAATCTTAAGTAATTTAATAATTATAAATTTTTCAAGATTATTAGTTATCAATTCTGCATTACAATTATTAAGTTTAATTATTTCAAGATATTGCAAAACTGGTGTATTTTGAGCAAAATATTTAGTTACAATTGCAAGATATTTAGCAGTAAATGAAGTATTTTCATCAAATAAAATACTTCAATTTTTTAATAATGCTAACTCTTGAATAATTTTATACTCTATAACAAATGCAAATGATGCAAGAAATACTCATCCTGAAATTGAATTTTTATATAAAGTATATTCATGCTGATATTGGTTAAATGTTTCGTTATCAATAGACTTTAATACAATAAGATTATTCTCAAAACAAAGTTCTTCATGATTAATAAATTGCAAATATCCTAAATGGCACAGAGCAGGATATTGATTTATAGCTAGATTATTTTTTGAAAGATAATAAATATTTCTTATTAATGATATTATTTTTAATTTTTAAACACTAAGTTGTCTAGTAAACCCCTGAATAATTGTAGTTTGTCAATTATCTTGAAAAATTGTTGCCTTTTGATGATCAACAGTAGCAAGATGACATTCAAAAGTTTGTTTTCATAAAGACTTTGTGCTTTTAGTAAATTGATTAATCTTTTTTGCCACCTTGTATCAAGTACAAAATACTATAACACACCATCATCATCATCTGATTTTTCAAGCCAAGGATAAATTTTAGATAAATTAGAATCCCAAATAGTACAATTTTTTTTGTATTCTTTATTGTTGGTATCTAAATTGCTTTGCTTTTGATTGCTTTTACTAGATTTATTATTATTTACATTGTCCTTATCTGAAGTTTTAAAACTCTGACGAATTATAAATTTATCCATTACTAAATAAATAGTATAATAAGAAGTTCAAGACTTTAAGTCCTGGAACTGATTTGGATAAGTATATAGAGTTTTACTAATAATAATTTTATCAATAAACTCGAGAAAATTTAGACTTTACTCAACTATTTGGATATATGAAAATTATAAGCATCGCATTTATTTTTTTCGATCTTTTTATAAAAAATTTTTTATATGTACATAAAACTAACTATCTATTCTACTTTTTTTAGGTTTTATTTTAATTATTAATATTATTTTAATTATTCTCTTGTTTTATAAATAAATTTTATTTTTTTATTATTATCTATCCAATTGTTTTCTAGTATGCAAATTATAAGTTTTACTGTTATTACTTCTAATTTATTATTACCGCATTACTAATTCTAATTTTTTTTTGAGTTTTATATGAAATTACTTTTTACACAATATTATTTATCTATTATTTTAACTCTGCTATTTTAAAACCTTAATAATATAAAAATTCTTCTTACTTTTTTGATCCAAATAAGAATTTGACAAGGGGTTATAGTATGATTCTCTAAATTCTTACTCGATATTATATAGGACAACAATTTGAAAAATATATAACACTAATTTTAAACCTATATGATGCCAAGTAAATAGTCTGTCAAAAAATAACTGAGCAACAACTTAACAGTTCAGCCTTCTAAAGTTTAAGTTAATAATTAAAGTCACTGCCACGGTATGTATTTAATTTACTAAGTATATACAAACGAATAAGTATATAGAGACTCAATCATTTTAAATTTTTTGATGCTAAACTATAATGGTAAAGAATGATTACTATATAGTGCATAATTTGGTATAATTTATGCATGTTTTCTGCTATGAAGCAATTATGCATATGTCATACTCCAGATTGGAATCTACCCGATTCAAAATCTAGTTATTCTGATTTAAAACCAGATTATTCTATTCGGCTTTGAACTTCTTAAACAGATTACCCAGAATTCGTAAAGTTAGATTTAGTATATTATGATTGGTATAATTATAGTTCTTAAATTGGGTATTCTGTTTGAGAATTTCAAAGCCGAGTAAATCAGAATGGCCGGATTCTGAATTGGGCAGTTTCTGGATCTTATATTCTTATTATATTCTTGATGCTCACAATTTGTTATATGATATAAATAAAGAGTATAAAAACAAATTAATATTTTATTTAATTAAATACTGATACGCAATTAAAATTTTAACAATTGTAATTTTTTTACAATAATAATATTATTAAAAATAAAAATATTAGATAGCGCACATTCTTATTAATATTATATCAAAAATCATGTGCGCTTACTACACATTAAACTTTTTTTATTGTGCGCAAAAATTTTTTTATGTGCGGAAACGCACATGCGCACATCCAATTTTTTTCACTGATGCTACCCTAACGACATTACGGTATTACGATGTTACGGAATTACGAGGTTATGGCATTACGATGTTTCAGTTCAAAATAATTACGGCAAATAATACGGCACATGCTACAACCGTATTGGTTTGCCAAATTAATTCTATCACCATGCTTGTAGACCTGTAATATCAAAATATTTTAAATAAATTGTATTTTAGATTCTTACTTTTGCGTGATTACATCACGCAGCTATTTAATGACTAAACTAATTTTTAAAAAATAAGCATTATAACATTGAATTACCTAGAGTTGCATTTACTGGCACCGGCAAATTTTCGAATTGATAAACACGACTTTTATTTTGTGTTGCAACTAAAACTTGGCTCTTATCCGGTTCAGTGTTTAAAAAAAGGCTTTTATCTTTTTCAATTAAAGGCAAATCTACATTTTTCTTATCCGTTGACAATGTACCCTCGATCTTAGTTGTTAAGAGTAACTTTTTATTTTTTTGACATCTAAATTTCCTTTTTAACCATCTTATTAGCTGTTTAATTTTAGGCATCTTAATTGGGATAAGCTGTAATTCTTTGATAACACCATCGTTTTCATAAATTTCTCTAAGTAAATTCTCCATCTTTTTCATAATTATATCAGCATTTGGTCTATTTTCTGGATTTGCATCCCAACATTTAATCATTAAATCAGCGTAATCGGATGGAATTTTGTCAATAACCTTAGGCCTCAATCCATTAATTATATTTAGAGCAATCTCTTTATCTGGTTTATTCATTTGTTCGTAAAAAGGTGACAAACCTGAAGAAATTTCCCACATGATTATTCCCAAACTGTATATGTCTGATTTGATTGTATATGAATTATTATATAATACCTCAGGAGCAATATAAGGAAGGTTTCCATAAATTTGATTTGATTTTTCTAATGATTTATATAAGCCAAAATCACTAACTACACAATGAGGTTTAGCCTCATCAACTAGAATATTTCTTGAGTGTAAATTTTTATGTATATATTTTTGATTATGTATTTTTCTAATACTATTAGAAATGTTTCGCACCATTTTAAATTTAGTTTTCCAAGATAAATTGGCCGTTTTTGCAAGAAAATCAGGCAAGTTACTATCCATACATCGAAGTACAATCATAAAATCCTGTGTATCAGGGTTTCTAGTCAATCCATAACATTTTATAAGGGTTTGTGAAAATTTTTCAAAAGTGAAGTTTGCGATAATCTAAATTTATAATTAATCATTAGTAATGTTATTAACTTAAATATGAATTTGCGTGGTGTTCAAGTGTGATAAAACTTTTCACAAGATAATAAACTTTAAAGGAATCACATGACTCTCGTTACAGTGAATTTTTGGTATGTTAGTGATTGAATATTTATGTTCAAAACTGATTCTCAACTAAAATAATAGATAATTTGTCAGAATCGATTCTGAAAATTATTTTAACGATTGCATGTTATTTCTTACGAATTTCCAATTTTTAGATAGCTTTTGTTTGAATGCATATTGTGCAAACAACTAGTGCTCGGCACAATCAAACAAAAATTTGACAGTCAAATACTTGTTAATAGTTGTGATTAAGTCAGGCATCAATTGATTGCAGATTAACCAATAGTATATATTTAGCTTTGGTTAATCTGCAATCGTTTGACATCCGATTTAAACATAAGTATTAACAAGTATTTGACTGTCAAATTTTTGTTTGATTGTGCCGAGCACTACAAACAACCATATATCTTTTAGTTGCATTTATTATGAGTGCTGGCCTAGCATACATCTCTTGATCTGATTATATCAAATTTATCTATTTTTGTGCCCATCTTTAATGTCATCTACTATAGTGCGTTGACCAAAGTACCCAGTAAAAATATCCGAGTACTATTTTACATGGCATAATTTTTAACTGGGATAAACCCCATATTGATTCTGTATTTACATATATAAAAAATACCCATACAATGTACCCATCACCTATTAAGATACCCATAGCAATTTGTAAGTTTTTTTAGGTGTTTTGTATTAGACCTGAGTCTTTCAGTCAGTGTATTACGGTATTATGTGACTCGTCTATCTTATATTTTTCGAATCATTAATTACCTGTATTTGAATATACTTTTTAATTCTTTCTAATATTATCCAATTAACGAAGTGACAAAGTAATCATTATCGCGAGATTAGAAGACTTATTGTGGATCTCATATAAATTAGTTCTAGCCTTTTATGGGTGAGTCCATAATGTTTTTTTGTATATCGTTGGAAACTATTATTGTCTTTTAATTGTTTTTCTTAAAGTGTCAATAAACTAGCTATGAACGATAGTAGGTTAGGTCAAGGAGTATGATAATGCATGAGAATAGAAAACAGAAGGGTGATTGGGTTAAGAGCTATTTAAGAACTGGATGATTGCTATTCTTTTGTTCGCTGTCACTCGCCTTGGTAAAAAGCTGCTCTTGGCCCTCCCTAACACCCATTGTTGAGTAGCTCGGCACAATGACCACTATAAGTCCTAGGGCATTAATAGTTGTATATGTTGGTTCCGAGGCTACAAGAGAAGTGCATGAACAAGATAGATCCAAATAAAAATGATTATCTTTAAATCACCACGTGACTGTGAAGTTTTTCTGCTGCATTAGTTGTAATAGATTGAGTAATAATAATTGTGATTGTGCCGTAGTTGATAGCAGTGGCATGTGGTTTCAGAGCTATTGACTTAATTGTAGCTTCAGTTTTAGGACAACTAGAAGCTGAATGAAGCGGGCCTACTCCCATATATATTTTCCTCGTTATATCAATAAAATTACCGATCGAACAATAATAAAGGATTTTATTGTGATTTGCAAAATTTTGTGAAATTTGTAGTCTTTCTTAGAACTTTTTCGATATATCGCATTATCAAAGTAGTTTTAAGAAATTAGAAATCACCTAAAAATCAAATTATTTTATTTATTTATTTTTTTTTTTTTTGATCCACAAATTTTACAAAATTTTGCAAAGCAATAAATTACACAGCATAAAAAATCAATATTAAGTACATATAATTTCAATAACTTCACTATAACGAGAGTAATTATAATTAGACTCTAAAAAGTTTAGGGATCTATGTCAAAAACTTGTAACATTAAAAATAGCCTAAAATGAGTAAAATTACTTGTATACAATGTTTACACTTGAACTTTAAATTATACGATTGCCCATGTTAATCATCTGTTTTACAGTATGGAAAATGATTACACTTACATCTTTAAACCATTGTTCATCCGCTGTCCTTGAATTCTTTAAGCTTTTGAGAATATAGATTTCTCCGCCACTCCTCTTTAATTCTTGATTTTCAGTATCCCATTCTGTAAATGGTCCATCTTCCCACGTTGCAGCATATATCAAAGAAAAAGTACCTTCTTCCTTAAACACCAGATTCGTAAACTTTTCAAATGGAATCCATTCAAATATATCTGAAGGTGATACTGAGTTAATTTGACGTTCTTGGATTAATTTATCAAATTTACTATTTCCTGTGGTCCATTTGCTAAAATCTCTTTCTAAATAATTTCTAATACAGTTTTCACAGTAAGTAATTGCGATAGCCGGATTATTACAATATTCACAATGCCTTCTTTCTCCTATATCTGCTATTACATTTTGTGCATCTCTTATAATTATAAGATCATTTATTATGTATTTTTTTTCGTGCTTAGTTAAGCATGGATTATTTACAACCATGTTGCTAATAGATTTAAATATTTGAGATGAATTTAAGTTAGACTCTTTGCAAATTATTGCTCTTTGACGACAATCAGATATTTCATCTACTCTAATAGATTTTTCTTCCATCTTTAAATAGTTACATAAGGACTTTGGTTATTCGAAACCTTTATATAGGTTTCCTGAATACGATTCAATATTCTCAATTTAATGATGAAGCGTCTATTCAAATTCACCTTTTACATATTTTGCCAATGTTTCATCAAAATATTCTATTGTATGCAAAGCTTCTCGTCACAATTGATGAATGAAAAACCATATATTATCAAGGTTTATGCCCCTATATTTGAATCTAAAACCAAAACAATGAAGTTTAGTGTAATCTTATATCAAAAAGTATAAATTTACGGATAAATTTTGATAATACTGTAATACGCCAGAAATATAGTTCATTTTTTTATGAAACATTCGATGGTCACATAAGTTTCAAACAGGCAAATTTTCCCATGTACAACGCATCCGATAGCTTATGCTGTTTTATTTATTTATTTATTTTTATATGTTAGCTTTTTTTTAGGATTGAGGATTAGACGTATAAATAAAAGTGGATTATAAAAGCGTATATGTGATTTTAGTAGATACTATCCCATGCACGTACGTAGATATTCGATCGTATTAGCCATACCGCTGTGTCAGTAATGCAAAGTTAAGTTCTGCCGATTATTGCCAATATTTAAATCATGCCGAGCATTTTGAAATAGCCAGTCATGTTGTTTCTGAGGCCCCCCTTTAAAAGTATATAAAGAATTCAAGAATATATGTTTTGTGTAGCAGTTTTAACATTTTTAGCTAATATGATCAAATTTAAAATTTAATTTGAGAGTACTACATTCCACCAATTTAAGTTGAAATGATACATACGTACGTACGTACGTACGTATGTACGTACGTATGTAGTATAACGGAATCTTGGTAATTTAAAATTGAGGCTTCATCATCATGTATTACGTATAAAATTTTGGAAAATTCTGTGTTATTTTTCTATAATGAGAAATAGTCGTGTAATATTTTTTTTACAAGTTGACCGGAGTTTAAAAATAATTTATTTTAAGAATATATTTAAATATTTATATAATAAATATAGCATTCTAATAAAAGAATTAGTCATTTTTTAAACTTGAGTAACTCGGTCAAAAAAATAACAAATATAATTAGTCCGACAGAATCAAGCCCTGTTCAAACTTTATCAAGTAAATAATAAAGTTTGAAGTTGGGTTACTATAGTCTCAAGTACGACACAATGAACATTGTCTCGTATACTTGACTATTACCACCACTATCACCTGGACTACTTTCCCAATAACTAGCCACCCAAGCGAGATTAATTAAAGTAAATATTCCTAGCACTAAGATAAACCCTTGAAAAGTGCATTTTTCATGCTATGAATTTTTCATAATAATTTTAAACCAGATTTAAAAATAAATCATAGAGCTCTTTAGTTTGCATACTTTGCATACACATCTGTCTATACATAGATTCTCGATTTTGTAATAGTTCACATGGATGGCCGGATTCCACGACACTTCCAGAATCTATTCCAATAGTAAATTCTGATTAATTCATAGCTCACCATAAATATGAATGAATTAACAGTTAAATATGAAATATTTAATACCTAACACTAAAATTCTGTCATAATCAATAACCGTCTTTAAGCGATGCGTGATATATAATAAAGTCGAATCTTTGAATTCTTCACGTATTGATTTCTGGAGCTTGAAGTCAGTTTCAAGATCTACATTTGCAGTTGCTTCATCAAAAATAATAACTTTGGATTTATTTATAAGCGCTCTAGCCAACATAATTAATTGTTGCTGGCCATGGCTTAGATTGCTTCCTCCTCTGCTATTTTAAAACCTTAATAATATAAAAATTCTTCTTACTTTTTTGATCCAAATAAGAATTTGACAAGGGGTT